AGTGAAGAAATCATAACAAAACGTGATCAAATTGGAGAGACGGACAAGACAATCGTAGTTTGCCGCGGTATCGTGCGCAACGCGGCGTGTAGTGTGCGCGGCAAGTGATGTCGAAGTTTCCCGTCCCTTCAAAGTTGGCATCCAAACGTCCGGGCAAAACAACTAGCCTTTCGCAGGTGTGACCTCGCTTGATCCCAGTGCCGCATATCACGATTGTTTTGCCACGTACCCATGAAAAGGGGGGAGGCGTTCCTAGTGGGACCCTTTTTGGAGTGGAACCATACTGGCACGGCCTTTTCCCCCATCGCCGTGTTGTCCTGACCATAGTGCCCACTCGCCTCCATAGACTGTAGGGAATTAGTGAGACGGCTGATCCGGTTTCACAGACCATAGTGAAAGGGGCGGGTATGTGGCAAGAGAATCGTAATTCGCCGCGCCAGTGGGCGTCGCGTGCGACGTCGCGCCTGCTAATGACGACGATTTTAGGTGGTATTGGTCGAGAATAGACAATGTATGACCAAAAATAGGCACAAGTGTCTACCATGTCCTCTACATGAAATCCGATGCTCCAATGAAAGGGTAGTGCAAACTGTGGAAACGTCGCGCCCATTGCCACGCGCGAAGAAGCGGCAATTCACGATTCTCTTGCTAGTCTCCAGTGAATGGGCACTTCAGCAGACTTCCTTGCTCCTTCAAGGGCAGGTGTCCCAATTCGGTAACAAACACCGGCATGAACGGCTGAAAAACGTGCTTCTCAGTAATCTACATACATTTTTCCAACTACGAAATGTATAGTTCATAATGAATTGTAAGCGATGAGTTGATCAATACTCTTAATTTGTGATGAACTGCGACGAATATAATGAACAGCTTTCAGTTATCCAGTGTCTGATCACTACTTTCTGTTTACTCTACTTGACACAGCAATTTGCACGTTGTTACCAGCCATTCTGATCATGTTCGTCAACACGCTGTCCATTTACCGGTATCGTCAGTGCATGCGCATCTACTCATCCGGAGTACTGCGAGTACGATTCGATCGGGCTTCAAACGGCAATCCCATCCCTTACGTAGGCTTTACTCCTTCTTTTCATTGATATAACTCGATCAATTTTCTTATATTTTTTACTTACTACCATAAAAAAGGAAGCATTCCGGTTGCTTTAGTGATGGGTTACAACCCTTATTTGAGGGCCAAGCGAAAGTGTGGCAGAGACGTAGGCATATAAAAAGGGAGTCGGCACGGGAATACGTAGCCTTCGCGAGTGCCCTTTTTTGAACTCCGATATGCATACCAATAATCACAACATGAGGCTACAAGTAGGCTACCAGATGTGAACGTTCGTAGCTCCACTGCGGGCGAGGCAGGGCACATCATTGGTTGGGGATTTTAGTCGAGTCTGTACGACCCCTCCCTTCCTTTTTGGGGGGTTGGTGCGACCCCCCCCCTCCGGCCCTCTCCTTCTCTTCCTCATCGACCAGCATTAAACAGGCACAAATCACGTATGTCAACGTCACCTCTCCCAACCAGCTCTTAAGGCGCAAAAGTAAAACGACCCCCCCCTCCAACATGAGCAAGTGACGACCCGCTCCTCTTACAATATTCCGTAAGCGAGAAAATCAGACCTATGCAAGAATAAGTTCTTCGCCTGCCAAGATACGACCCTTCTCTCTCCTGGCGGCCAATATCGACCCCTATTTGGGGATTCGCCAACCGCGATGTGCCTGGGCGAGATATAGCGGTTCAAACCGACAATTACATGAACCACATTAGCAGTCAGTGGGGCTTTCGTGTAGACTTGACGGCTAGCATCATTACGCCACTTATCATCATACCGTGCACATACTCACGCATACGTATCATCAGCGCGCTTGAGAAGAAAACTAATTGTCTGATCGGCCTCTGTGGAGTTTCCTACTTTCGCTTATTTTGAAGTTCACTGGACGTAGCGAGTCAGTCGATTCGACCTCCAACTGCTATCTTTTTCACGTGGTCATATTCTGGCGCGGCTACCGATCCTCGTGTATAGTATAGGGTGGGGTTGAATATGACGACGAAGACCTTAACGATAATTCACACCAACCATTCACAGCCTCCTCCAGCCTATTGCGCGCTAAGCATTTCATTTATACGTACAGTCTCCTTCGTTCAGTAGGCAGATTTTCACTTGTTCGAAGATTTGATCTCGCTTCAGCAGCCCAGTCCCACTATGTGGGCGTTAACTCGACTTGGTAGCGTGGCGATCAGATTGTACTAGCAGAGGCTTGTGCCGACCGATCTAAGTGTACTGTCTTTAACGCATTCATTGGGATTGGGAACGAACAAATGGGTAACTTATGCATAAGTCAGCGTCAGTGAGGCAAAGTCCTCATACTTTTCTCCGAGATTTACACTCAATTCGATCTGAAGGCTAAGTGCGGCGCTGTATGGAAGTGTCTTAGTATCCCCGTGCCAAATATCCTCTCTAACTATCTCCTGCCTCTCCTCCGTCTGGACCCGTCCCGTCATCGCCTCGCTCACAGCTGCACCCTTCGTTGCCCTCAGACATGGACTGTATATGTACTCCTATGATTAAAACTCTATATAAGGCGGGGTTCTTTTCAGGAGGAAACGACGGCGAAGAAGCTGTTGCTCAGTCAAACACATACCAACAGTCACATGTCAACGCAGTCAAACCGCTCGACATGTGGAAAACTTCGGTCGTCTGATCTCCAGCTCAGCCGAACGCTCCTCATCGTGACTAGGTGAGCACAGTTGCTACCTAAGTTTAACCTTGGTAACTAAAACTGACAATAACAAGTTTCAGTACTTTTGTTTTGCTGAACGTACCCAGCTACATGGTGAGGATTATTCAGTACATTTTCGAGCCGCGAACGCAAATCTTCCATTTTCTACATTATTTCTCCTATTTGATCTACTATCTTCACCATGCTGTTCTGTTTTACATGTATATCTTCTGGAGGTATGAGATTATTTGAAGCTAAACGATTATTGTCTGAGCTCGTAGGATGAAGCTTCACCTTGAATAATGAAGAGAGAGTTGTTCGTTTTCAGTCCACAAATGAAGAAACAATTGAAACCGACAGCGATGCGTCTACTTGAATGCTACTGCTTCAAAACAGTACCGGAATTTGGCCATCGCTCCACCTCACTTCAGGGTTTCAACTGAACAGAGCTGTTTTCTTTACGTTTTCCCGTCTATCACAACGATTACATGCTTTCATCGAAACCGATGAGGGCAAGTTCTTCTTTCGTTCTTCCTCCTACTTTACGCCTGATCTCAGTCGCTTTGCTTACGAGTCGCTCAGTCGCATGACGTCTAACGAATGTCTCGCTGTGATATTTGACTATGCTTTTATCGGGTATATTTGAGAATTCAAAGAATAAAAATCATTATTCGTCTCTTTTACACACGCTTACGGTCCTTTCAATGTTTTCCAGCATCATCTGTCACAACTACCATTATTCTTTTATTTGGGGTCATTATTGTGCCCAAGTTCTTCACAGAGCGTAAGCGTAAGCGATTGACGTCCTTAAGAGAAACAATCACACGTGTAAAACTCAAACACTCGATCAAACTTAGGAAATAATTGACATGAAAGTCATCAGGAAATTAGTTCAGAAGCAAGGAAAATAGAGAGAAAGAGGGCTCAGCGGGAAGACGAGAACGGAAACCGCAGCCAGGTAGAAAAATATAACTGACTACAGAATATTGTTGGTATAGTGGAGCTTTCTCCCAAAAGCCTCAAGACCCCCCCCCCCGTAACCTAGGTTTCAAAAATCGCCTCTGGGCGGTAAGCTGTGTGGGGCGCCAGACTGAGTAGTTTTTCGCAATCGGGACGGAGTGCAGAGTTGTAAATGTATTCGTAACATGCATCCTCCAGTCAAGTAGCAATATTTGAGAGAAGCAATATGCATTGGTGAAACGGCTAGACGACCTTCATGTATACCGGAAGGAATGCATTCTGGAATGGAGAACATCTAGGCTATCGCGTATCGGAACTGCATACCAGAATTGGCGAGGGACGATAGACGTTTTAGTGACTCTATGTAAACGTAGAACTTGAGGCCGGGCTGGCGACTAAGCTTGAATGATCCACATCACTGGAGCAGGTCGTCATTTGATCCGGTGGAGCTGACTGAGGAGGGTTAAGTTATTTCCCTTCAATTTCGTAATGTATTGAGAGGGGTCGAAAGACCAGTGAGCTCATGGATTATTTGCTGAGGTAGAACACAATTGGTTGCTTAGCCTTTTAAGGCTGCTAAAAAGGCGAAACTACCAGAACGTCAGCCCAATAATGGTGTAGTTAGCAAACCCCGTGAAGCACTTACTAGATATGATTACATCGGTAGATAAAAGAATTCCTAACGGTTTCAGAGAAACCTTGTAACCTGTTCCTGCGGGCTCCTTCCGCTGGATCATGTATGGTATCGGTGTCGGAGTTCGAGAACGTTCTCTGCTCTCTTCTTGACTGCTGGTCTAGAAGACCTTCACCTTGAACCCCTTGTAGAGCCTGAAGTGCTCCGATTTTGACTCGAAGTCTGTCTATTTGACACCCGCACAATCAACAGATCTCTGCTTATGAGATCGTTGCAACTAAAACGCAGTACAGCTTAGGCATAAAAAAGAAGCTTTGCGGGGAGGAATCAAAGATAGATTGATACAAAAAGCGAAGCATATCGCTTCACCGTTTCTTCTCAAACCCTGTTTATTTTTTCTAGGCTTGGGTGAAACAACAGACGCTGAACTAATTGTTGGTGGTGCGCACCTGCTTATGCAACGAGATTATAAGCTGGTACTCCTGAAAGACAGGCTGTACGCTACGCTTCATTGATCCTGTTCCTATCCATGCGCGAGGAGAAATGTTGTGTAGTTGCAGGAGTCTTGCTTTCGCGGCCACACGCTTAACCAAACGCCCCAATAGCGAAACGCGCTTCTTGTCCGCACCTCTTACGGGTGAGCATCTTTGGCCAGAGCGTTGTATGGTAAGGCAGCTGTAGGAGTACTGTAGCCTACGTTGGGATCACCTAGCATCTCCCGAGGTCTGCTTGTGGCATGATCTCCTTGATTGCTGCGCTGATCTCTTGGCAGTTTCAGTGCTAGTGCAATGTTGAGTATCGAATAAATGAATGACATTTCATTATACTGGCAAGGGTGGAGGAGCTGTGGGGCAGTGTGTGAGTCCTTGAGGAGGAATGACTAACAAGTGTCGGGGAGCTGGAGCTGAATATGCAGAAAATTTAGAAGTTGGTGTAAGTAGCGGGAGTCAGATGGGGCAGAACTTGAGCAGTATGTGTGTGGAAGAGTTTTGATAGGATCCGTTGCAGTAGTAACTGGGAAGCGTGCTCGAGCAACGCCAAATGCTAACAAGATTTGTTGCATGTTGTTGTCATCCAGCTATATAATTGTAGTTTCAGATGACCTTTGAATTGAGTGTGAGCTTAGCAATTTCAACAGAAAATGGGCGCAAGAGAAATAAGGTGTGAAAGGTCATACTTTGAGAATAACTAATGATAACTCCGCCATTGGAGGGTCGTAAGATATATGAGTGCACCTAGTAACGACAATTCCTGAAAATTTTAACACGGTTTTTTTTCCAGCAGCGTCGCTATTTCTCCTTGCCTAGTACTTCCTACTACTAGTGACACTCAATTTATCTCGTTTCGTGGGCAGCCAGTGAGAGCTCAGCAGTTAGCGCAGCAACTAAGTGAGGTCATGCCACAGGCAAGCGTTAGGGTATGCAAGATGATCTCACCGCACTTTACAGTACTCCTACAGTTTTTATACCGTATAACGCTCCCAGCTGTAATAAAATCGGCCACTTTTACTTACCGTATTAACGTCCCAGCTGTAATAAAATCGGCCACTCCCTCCCTTTCCTGCTTGATCTACCGATGAGCGCGTTTTCGCTATCAGGTTTTGGCTGCGACGTGCACTCGACATTCCTGACCAGGAAATGTTGTTTGGTCGAAGTTTCCATTCGAAATGAGATATATGCTGCCCGGTGGGCCCGTG